CTGTTTCAAAAAACAAAATTGTGAAAACTCTATAGGTGTTTCAATGAATAATGTTTTAAATTGGTCTTTGAACTCAGTTCCAGGGGGGTATCAGGTATTTTCTGTTCTCTCTTCTTTTTTTTTAGACAAAGTTTCATTCTTCTTGCCCAGGCTGGAGTGCAACGGTACGATCCTGGTTCACCACAACCTCCATCTCCCGGGTTCAAGCAAATCTCCTGCTTCAGCCTTCCAAGTATGTGGGATTACAGGCATGTGCCACCATGTCTGGCTAACTTTGTATTTTTTTTTAATTGCATTTTAGGTTTTGGCGTACATGTGAAGATTTTAACTAGCTTAATTATTCCACATTATATTCATAAATTACAATATCACTTTGTACCCCATAAACATACAACTATAATTTACCAGTTTACAGTTTAAAAAATTAAAAAAAAAAAACAATGTTAAACTGGGTAGTTCAAAAGCTGAGAAAAGTTCACGGATTTTGCAATTTCCAGACCACTGATAACTATCATCAGTAAACTGCTAGGTACTGCAGACTGAAGTCAGACCTCAAGTCACCGGACTTTCCATGCTGCATTTTCCCATGTACCATGCAGGTGCTGACGTGTTTGCTCCTCTACCGTTTCAGAATGTGCTCACAGGAGAAGTCAGGAAATAGGGAGGGAGGGAGGGAAGGAGGGAAGAAAAGAGGAAGGGGAGGAGCAAAGGAAGGAGGGAGGAAAGGAAGGAGGAAAAGAGGAAGGGGGCACAGGAGGCTAGGAGAGGAGGAGGAAAGAAATAAGGAAGGGAGGCCAGGCATGGAGGCTCACGCCTGTAATCCCAGCACTTTGGGAGGCTGAGACGGGCAGATCACGAGGTCAAGAAATCGAGACCATCCTGGCCAACATAGTGAAACCCCGTCTCTACTAAAAATACAAAGAAATTAGCTGGGTGTGGTGGTGCATGCCTGTAGTGCCAGCTAATCGGGAGGCTGAGGCAGGAGAATTGCTTGAACGTGGGAGGTGGAGGTTGCGGTGAGCCATGACTGCGCCACTGCACTCCAGCCTGGCGACGGAGCAAGACTCTGTTTAAAAAAAAAAGGAAAAAGAAACAAGGGAGGGAGGGAGTAAGGCTTAAACCTGCATTTGCATAGGGCTGACACCACCAGTGGTCCATAGCCCCTAAGGGTACAAAGGGAGAGGGACCAGCTGCTGTTAGTCTCCCACCTTTCCCGTGGGAACTGAAAATCAGACTACTAATGCTGGTTAAGCTCTGTCAACAGGGAAACATAACGCATTTTTCTAAATGAAGAAATAAATCTACAAAGAAGCAAAGCAAGTCAAGGTAGAAACCTGTGGTCTGGAGGGGGGAAAAATCAACACTTCCCTGTCTCCCTACTTTTCTTCTTCACCAATGAGTCATGATCAAGACAAGATATTCCACCTCCAAAGAGATGGAATGAAGGTCACGGAGGCTGCCAAGGCTGCATTCTCCAGAGTTGAGACTTTCCAAGAGATCAAAGTGTCAGCGGAGATGGGTGTGTGGCTCTCTGTTCTCATCTTCCACTAAGAAGGCTGGTGACAACATGGCACAGCCAGAGGGCTGACCCCTTGGAAACGCTAAGCCATTCCTTTTTAAATGTTTTCCTCCTCCTCCTCTCTCCTCTCTCTTATCCAGACCTAGTCTAAGGTACAGTAATTACTTGTGGCTTAGATCAGCTCTGCTTCAGACTTTTGGGAAAATGTATAGCCTTTTTTTTGCTAATAAAAAATGACTTTTACCTCTTCTACTTATTTAGCTAATACACAACTACTTGAAAGGGCAAGGTAAGCTTTCTTACATGAACGTATCAACACCGAAGACTGAAGTTTAAACACTGAGGTAAATGTACAGGGAAAGCCAAAGCCACCTTTGCCTCCAGGCTAGTAGGTAGGTATAGGAAATAGAGGAACATGTACCTCAGCGTAATGAAAAGGGCGTCTGCGCCCTGCACGCCTGTCATCTAAGATGCTGCTGGGATGCGTCTGGGGCAGTGTCCTAGTGCTTCCCCAATCTCTTGTCAAATGCTACCACAGTAATTTAATATTCCATCCCAACATCTCTAAAAGAAACCAAAATTCATTAATTCAAAGAACCCAAGAATTATTCTGCATTAATTATAACCAACTCCTAAAAAAATCCAAGACCTATTTTGTATTAATCATAAGCAAATCCCTAAAGGAGTCTCTCTATAAGTTATTTTCAAGTGTTTAATGTTCTGAAAATATTAATATACATGAACCGTTCCAACTCCAATCACTGTGTCCTTATTATTAGTTACTCACAATCTGTGGGAGTGAGAGCTAATATAAGCATATACTTCGAATTTCCAAGCTTTAGAAAGTGCTTTATATTTCATCTTTAATGATTTGAAAATACAACACTCTTAAATGAAATACAACCTTCCTACATAGAGGCTTTCTTCTGGGTAATGTTACGCTTACATTATGCAGACCTGTGGTCACTAACAATAGGGTTCTTTAAAATCAACTGAAACACACTATCTGGAAAAGATGTTTAAAAGTATTTGTAAATTCAATGTGGGGACATCATTCTTTCCCAAATTGATCAATGCTTAACCACTAAAACCAGAAGTCACATTAAATCACATAAGTTAAAGTTCGTTTTTAAACTGAAGAACTTGGAGGGTGAAAGGGGCAATGCTGCCCTGGACGCACTGACAGGTTACAAATGGAAGCATCTGTCAACTCTGGGGTCCTGAGCCATGGAGCACCCAAGGGCATGCAGTCTCTTCCGGCCAAAGGTTAACAGGCAGCCACTCACCTACAGGGTGGTCCCACATGACGGTATGACCAAACATCTCTGCGGTTAGACATTTCTGAGACATCTCAGTGTAGGGTCGGCCTCTGCTATTTCAGCCCTGTTACGCATGGGTCTACCATGTCACCTAGGTTGGCATTAGTGACCACATAGGTGTCTACACTGTGCTTGTCACCAGGCCAGTACCTCTCCCCAGCTCTGGTCCTCCTCCGGCATTTGTACTCCTAACTCTGCAGTCCCTTTGGACTAGAGCTTTCGGTTTGGCTCCTTTACCTGAAATCCTCACCCTCATCCATGGGTCCAAGCTCCAGGGCTCATCGGAGTTTGCCCTTTCCGAGTCCGGGGGTGTGGGGGGACATCAAACACGTTTAGCTCCATGAGTGTGACCAGCTAATTCACAATTCTGGGCTTTACTGAAGTAAAGTAACCCATCAAACTCTATAATCTGAAGAACCCTGATGAATCACACACTGAGACGTCTCAAATATGACAGAAGCTAATGTTTCAACAAAACGTTCTCTTTCAAAAATCCAGAGAGACTCTGTATTCATTACTTTCATTCTGAATTACTTTCCCAGGAAAACTTTGTATATGAGAGTATCTGAAACTGGCCCCGCCCCCTTCTGAGCCCACAATGGTCTCTGGGTCCTACTATGATTGGCATAGACCTTTGTGTCGAATTATTCCAAGCATATAATTTATTCCGGTAGCCTGTCCCAGGGGGCTACCATGCCCTTTTCTGGTTTAGGCAAAAATTCTGAATTTTGCTGCATGGCCAAAAAGAAGTCCAAGTTACATATTGAGAATGAAAAGTTTTGGATAGAATGAACTCCATTATAAAATCCCTGAAAGAAGTTTAACACTTAAGGGATTTCTGCACTGAAGAGACACTCATTTTGAGTACTCAGAGACAGCTCAAGTGGCTTAGGATTAATTTAAACAAATATACCTGGAGGCATTTTTGTGAAAATACGGCAAGTAGGAGTGGCCACTAATCTCATACTCAAAACGTATGATACAATGTTATTTACGGCTAATTCAAAAACTAAATTCTGTTAACTCAAATGCATATAAACTTACTGTCCAATTATCTCAGGTAATAAGATGGCTAAGGAACAACTGATCATATACTCCAATGCCCAGGAAACGCTGGGGAGAGAGAGTAGAGTGAAGGTGTAGAGAAGAAAATCCTCCTGGAGTGGGGAGATCCTTCATCAGCAACACAGCCCTGGGCCTACCCCACAAAGCCTGAAAGCCTTATCAATTCGATTTCAACTATATTTCAGCATGTGCTCAGTGAAGAAGAGATTTTTGCAAGCTGGGCAATGAGCTGGAGCACATCCTCCAGAGCCCGACACCTCAGAAAATCTTCAGCCCTTCTTTCTCTGCCCCTGTCATCTACCTCTGAGATGGTAAGTAAACATTCCGGAGAAAAGCAGCATCACTCCTTTATTCACTGGCTCATCCGCAATACGCTAAGCATTTGTAAAGTAACTTTTACAATGCTGGGCTAAAGCAGTTCCAAAAAACTTAAGGAATAGTCCCTTCACAGCACATATAAATTACTGGAATATGAACTGGAGCACAGGATAAAGCACAAGTTGGAGAAGATGATGATCAACGGGAAGGCAGGGAAAGCTCTTGTGGGAAGGAGGAACGTGAAGTGGACTTTGCAGGTGCTGGGATTGGACAGGTAGAATGCGGGAAGAAAGGCAAGCCAGGCTTGGTCAGTAAACAATGAGAGAGGCTCGCAGTTGGGATTTGAACTTGCTGTGTTCAGGCAGTTGTGGGACGGCTAGCAGCCAGGGCCTGTGAAAAACAGCTGTGAGAGGCAGGGCAGAAGGGCAGAGAGACGTGGTGTGCAGATTCTACGACTCCTAAAGGACAGGAGACACTAGACTTTATCCTGCAGGCAATGCAATGTGGCGACAATTTCTCCCACTGTTTTTTAAATTATAAAAGCAATATATATTCTTTATAGACAAATTCCTAAGTTTTCCTTATCATACTCTACAAAAATTCAGATAATACTAATGTGTATATTTGCATATAAAAGTATTATACAGACAATGAAAACTTCATGGACGTCCCATTTCCTCAAAATGCACCATATGTACAAGTTTGCTATAGTGTCTAAGTATATGAAATACTTGTAAATACAAAGACATATTACACATGGGATATATTCTATCACTTACTTTTTTCACTGAAGAATACAGCTGATGCCTGAACATGGGTTTGAACTACACCCACTTGAATGCAGATTTTCTTCTGCCTCTGCCACCCGAGACAGCAAAACCAACCCCTCCTCTCTCTTCCCGGGCCTCCTCGGTCTCCTCAGTGGAAAAACAAAAATGAAAGACCTGTATGATGATCCGCTTCTACTTAACGAATATATCTCCTCTTCCTTGTGATTTTCTTAATAATGTTTTTCGGTAGCTTTATTGTACTGCATTCCCCAGTTCTAGTGTAAGAACATAGCATATGTATTAGTTCGTTCTCACACTGCCAATAAGACAGACCCAAGACTGGGTAATTTATAAAGGAAGGAGGTTTGATTCACTCATACTTCCACAAGGCTGGGGTGGCCTCAGGACACATACAATCATGGTAAAAGAGGAAGCAAACACATCCTTCTTCACACGGCAGCAGCAAGACCTGCAGAGTGAAGGGGGTAAGGCCTCGTACAAAACCATCAGATCTCGTGAGAACTCACTATTGTGAGCACAGCCTGGAGATAACCGCCCCCATGATTCAATTACCTCCCACCAGGTCCCTCCTGTGACGTGGGGATTATGGGAGCTACAGTTTAAGATGAGATTTGGGTGGGGACACAGCCAAACTGTATCAGTGCATAATACATAAAACAGACAAAATGTATGCTAATCGACAGCTTTATATTGTCGGTAAGGCTTCCAGTCAACAGCAGGCTGTGAGTAGTTAGGTTTTTGGGTGGTCAAGAGTGACGTGAAGGCATTTTCCATGTGGGGTGCTGGCACGCCTAACCACCACAGTGTTCAGGGGTCAACTCTGAATGAGACATATTACCACATTTTTAACACATAACTCATTGTTTTAATTTAAACTGCAGGGTCCTGTTCTAAAAATACGAACCCTTAGTATCATTAACAATGCCTAGGCAGAGAAACAGTGAAGCTCAGGTGTTGGAGGCATGTGAACCAGACTGACTCCATCTTGAATAGGGTAAGGCAAGGCTGAAATCGACTGGGCTGCATTCCCAGGAGGACAGGTGTAGATCTTTTAGGTTAAGGAAACAGATTAATAACATGCTACGGAACAGACCTAGACGTAGGTCCTGATATCCTAGTGCCTTGAGAACAAAAGCATTTTTAATTTTGCTTTAAAGATAACATTGATTTTTGCAAAATAATTAAGAACACTAATCCTTTATCACAAACCCTCGTAGTAGAGCACATGTCCCTGTGATTTTCTGTTGTTGTTATGCTATATACAAACAAGCATCGTACCTAGGGTGGTGTGGTCTTCCTCTTACCTTTGGGAATGTCCTACTCTGTGTGTGGAGTAGCTATTCTTTGGCCATTTTACTTTTCTTTTTTTTTTTTTTGAGACAGAGTCTTGCCCTGTCACCCAGGGTGAAGTGCAGTGGCGTGATCTTGGCTCACCACAACCTCCACCTTCCAGGTGCAAGTGATTCTCCTCTCTCAGCCTCTACAGCAGCTGGGACTACAGGCACACGCCACCACGCCAAGCTAATTAAAAAAAAATTTTTTTTCCTGGTTATCTTTAGTAGAGATGGGCTTTCACCATGTTGGCCAGGCTGGTCTTGAACTCCTGACCTTGTGACCTGCTCACCTCGCCACTTTACTTAACAAATGTGCTTTCACTTTGCATTGCGGACTCGTCCCAAATTCTTTTTTGTGTGAGATCCAAGAATCCTCTTTTGAGGTCTGGGTCAGGGCCCCTTTCCAGTAACACGGTTACCACCTAATTACTGCACAGCAGGCATTCTGCACAAGGGCACTGGCTTCCAGGCCACAGCCAGAAAAGGGCAAGGAAGGAGAAAACGGCATCTGAGAAACGCGTTTTAACATTTGAAAGCGACATCTTATTTCAAGGACAGTGGAGCCAGAAACTGGGTTACAAGTATAAAAAAGCAAGCTGTCGCCAGAGAGGAGGAACTTGGGGGCAAGGGGCTTCAGGCGCCACGTTTGGGTACTCAGTTCCAGCTGTACCTGGGACATAAAAATGGTTCTTGCCTAAATGAAGACATTCTCCTTTTCACTTGGCTACGGTGAGTTGAGTTTCTGCTATGAGCAGCTAAGAGTCCTAAGCGACACAAGGACTGGAAGTTTTGTTTTTTAAATCTTCTAGATTAGCAGTCTCCAGTTGTCAAAAGTCAAGTTACTTTCTTGACTTCGTACATTTTCCTTCCTGTTCCCTTTCTTTCTGTTTGTTCAGAGTTAGAAGTCTTACAGCAGTCCCAGGCTACCTTCCTCTCTCTGCAGAGACAAGTACTTTCAATTCATTTTTTAAAAATATTTAGGTCACAGAGAGCTTTTCATAGTTTATTTTGTTGTTTTGTTCAGATTTGTTGTTGTTTTTTAATTTTTGTGAGTATGTAATAGGTGTAAGGTGTATATCTTTATAAGGGATATGAGATATTTTTGTACAGGCACATGATATGTAACAATCACATCACGGTGAAAGGGGTCGCCATCACCTCAAGCATTTATCCTTTGTGTTTCCGACTCACCTAATTATAGTCTTATTTATAAATGTACAATTAAATTAGTACTGACGACAGTCACCCTGGTGTGCTAGCCAATGCCAGATCTTATTCATTCTTCCTTTTTTTGTGCCTGTGAGCAGCCCCACTTTGGGCTTCCCTCCCACTACCCTTCCCAGTCTCTGGCAATAACAACATTCCACTCTAGCTCTGTCATTTCAACTGTTTGATTTTTAGCCTCCACAAATAAGTGAGAACATGTGAGGGTTCACTTATTTTACTTGATTATTTTATTTGCCTCCATTTCTTTAAATAACACGTTTGTTCTGCTACTTTAAGATTTTTTTAGTTTTAGGCATTATCTACTGACTTCCTAGCATGGAACATGCAGACGAAGCTCTTTCCCGTCCCCGTCTCATAGGCATACTATTTCCACCCCCACGCCTCCCGCATGGTTACCTCTTACTTTTGCTCAGATCGATGTTCCGTGATTTGCTATGATTGTATAAACACTATTCCCAAGTAAATAAAATGGAAAATAAGGATTATCCTTTCCTGAGCAACGTTCTGTTTTCCCTTAATAGTTTAGAATACTCAATTCTCATTTAAATGACGTTTTGAGAGTGTGATAAGCTGAATCATGCTCCCCTGCCCCACCCAAGGACATCCACATCCAAATCCCTGGACCCTGTGAATATAATCTTACATGGCAAAGCGGACTTCGCAAATGTGATTAAGCTAAGAATCCTGAGACAGGAGATTTGCCTGTAATATCCAAGTGGGCCCATTAGAATCACAAGGATCCTCATGAGAGGAAGGCAGGAGGCCAGGCTGAAGAGCAGGAGAAGCAAGAACCTGAAGTGGTGCAGGGAGGGGACCAGGAGCCACAGAACGCAGAGGGCCCCTGAAGGTATTCAGCTTGGTTTTTCAAGGCAAGGAAACAGAAGCCCCCCGAAGGAATGATGCCCTGAGAATATCTTGACTTTGGACTTCTGACCTCCAGAAGCTTGTGGCTTTTCTACTATGTCAATAGGAAACTAACATAAGAAGGGAGCAAAAGTCATTTCTTTAGCCTAGTCTGCTGTCTTTTCCAAGAAGCTTTCAGCCACTGTTCCTAGTAATGAGTGCACTTCTGAGTGAGAATCAGGTGATGCACCAAGAATTTAGAGAATCCAATTTGATATCAATATCAATAAATACAGGGTGTCTCCAATGTTTATCAAATACATTTATCAAGTAAATATTGGACACACCCTATATGTAGTACATTGTTCTGTGGGAAAAGTTTATAAATCGGCTCATTTTTGGTCTGCCAAAATGGGATGAAAACTGTATTGTTCAAATTGTAACAGAGAAAACCCACTGGACTGGGAGCCTGGAGACGTACATCCTGCTCTGAGCACTGACACATCTGAGTGACCTTTTCACCAAGGCTTCATTTCCTCATCTGAAAATGGAGAAGGAGCACCATGTGCTATCTAAGGTTTCTTTCAGCTTTGCTACTTTCTGAGTGAGACTGTGGTAAATGAGTATTATTTACCTCCAAACCTGTTAAAGCTCTACACAAAATTATTTCCATAAATTTTCAATAAAGATGTATGATAACAAACTGACAATCATTTGTAAGTCGATATTCTGAAGCTAAATATCAGACACTGGAATAACCTAGAGTAAAGCGGCAGCAATAACAGCAAACAGCTTCACAGGTGAAATGGAGTCAGGAGGTCAGGTGACTTCACCGAGGCCATGCGGCTCCACGGTCTGTGCTATTACCCATTTTGCAAGACTGCTTTCCTGTAACTACAATGACAGAAAAAGGGAAAAGGAGGAAAATAAGATCATCTGGCAAGTTTAAAGAGTGAGTGCAAGAAACAAACAAAAACCCAGAAGTGTTTTAAAAGGTGTAGCTGGGAACAGAGAAGAGTCAGAAAGGAAAGGGGAGGGCTTCGGATGGGAAGCTGAAGGTCTCCCCCGACTACAGAAACGCAAAGGGCTACAAAATAACTAAATAAGAAGCAACAGGAAATTGTCACAGCAGCAAGAAATTCCACCTTGAAAACAAATCTGCTTTGTTAAAATCTCATTTTGCAGAAGTTATTTCAGCATTTGTATAGAGCAGGGCAGTCTGTTATCCCACGACAATCTTCTACTTCAGCGGCATCTTTCTGCCATAGCTAATTAACAGCTGCCACTCAGAGTGAGTCCATTCCAGCTGATGTTGCAGGAGGTGTGCAGCAGTATTCAACATTCAACACCAGTGCTGTCAAGTAAATGACAACAATCAGCAGGGAGCGCGCTTCATTTTCAGCCTTCTGGGGGAGAAAATAAATTCTAAGAAGAATTGATATGCAGCTTTTACATATCAAATCTCTAAAAAATTGAAGTCACACCGAAATCAATTCAAGTTGTAAGCGGACTTCTAAATGCTCACTTTTAAATATGGATGTAAAAAATAAAGCTGACAGACATAACCATAAAGCAAAATAAATAAGGAAACGTGGTTAAAAGCCAAAGACCATGATGTTCATTCTTTACCTCCTTGCACTTGATCTCTGGATGGCTCTAAACACATCTGACCTTTTGAAAATGCTGCTGTTCCTTAGTTTGCTGGACCCCTCACTCTTC